GACATAGAAAACGCAGGAATGAAGTTGGAGATATGGTTGCTTTAAGAATAGTGTTAGAAGCCTCAATGCCTCTTTTGCAGACCACAACACCCAAAAGGAGAGAGAGAACAAAAGGGAATGCCCTGCCACAAAGGCAGGGTGGGATGGTGGGGATGGGGGGTGGGAGGGATACTGGGATCTGTGGTGGTGGGAAATGGGCACTGGTGGAGGGATGGGTACTCAATCATTGTGTACCTGAAACCCAAGCACAAAAATCTGTAAGTCTACAACTGTACCTCATGGTGTTTCACTAATAAAAAAAAAAAGAAAAAAGAAAAAAAAATATTTATCAAACAAGTAAAATAAAAATAACTAGATAAAATAACTAAATAAAATAAAATAGTGTTAGAAGCAATGTAAAGTAAATCATCGTGGGCTTGTTACGAGGGCAGGCTTGAGGGGTGGTTGAGAAAATGGAGACAATCATGGAAGGAAGGTGACAGTGGTGGTGGAATACTCAATGCCTGCAACAAATCATCATGTACAACTTCGTAAACCACAGTGCTTAGATGAAGTGTGTGGAGCAGGGCGCCGGGCGAGAACAGTGCTAGTGCGACAGATCTATGATTCAGTGATGCCTTGCAGGTGTGAGGTTAGATCCCCAGAACCGCATGCTCTCCACAACACAGCACCACTGGGTGTGGTCCCCACTACACCAACAGTAATGACAACAGAGCTTATCTTTAAAAAAAATAAAAAAGTATTGGGCTGGAGCAATAGCACAGCGGGTAGGGCGTTTGCCTTGCACACAGCCAACCTAGGTTCGATTCCCAGCATCCCATATGGTCCCCCGAGCACCGCCAAGAGTCATTCCTGAGTGCATGAACCAGGAGTAACTCCTGTGCATCGCTGGGTGTGACCCGAAAAGAAAAAAGAAAGTATTACATAAAATTCTGAAGCATCGTTTTAAAAATAAAAGGAATTTGAGCCAAGCGTCTTTGTACAGGAGTGCCTTAAAAGGGATCCCGCTGATTTAGCCTACATGGTCGTAGGTATAAAAGCCATGATGTCCTCATTCTCGGTCACAGAAGCAATTCAACCAGTTCATCCTCTCCACTGTTACCCAGACTGAAATGTCTGGGGTGGTGGGCGGTGAAGGGATTGCTATCAAGGGTGCTTTTCCTTCATTTGATTCAAGGAGATGTATTTCCAGGGTGCCCTGAGTGATTGTTTTTCTGGAAAAAGGAGAGTCGGACAAATAAGTTTGGGAAACTGTTCTAAATGGAGCTGTCACTTATCAGCTGTGTATGATGTCAGCATGTTCTGGACTTTCCTGTGCCTCAGTGTTCTAGCTGTAAAGTAGAGAGAGGATTAGTTGGCAGTACAAGCCAAGAGTATATATCAAATCTCAATTTCATCTTATTTTCATTTCAATTTACTGATTTATTCAAAACATCTAGTGAGCTGGGTTTTTTAAAAAATACTTGCTTCATATTTAAGCTAATGTAAGGTATTTTGGGGAGGAGTAATCAACTACAGTGATCTGCATAGCAGATCAGCCTCTGCAAGTAGGCAAGACAAAAGTTCTTTATTTTCTCTGTGTTTGAAGCCTCTCAAGGAAATGCTTCTCTTAGCTAGCAGAACTAAGCACCCATTGTCGCACCTGAGACTAGCTGGTCTGCAGTCTTCTCTGAAGGAGAAAAAGCAGTTTATTGATCGATCACAGAAAATGGATCGTGGCTAAACCCTCTTGCGTTTATTCAATATACCGCCCTAGAATCTGCATATGATTAAGAAGACAGAGCCTTGGCAATTGAAGGCCACCTGACAGGCATGAACAATAACTGGGGAGATCAATGCTAATATATAACACTGTTGTCTTTACACAGTTTGCTGCCAGGATCCCCGCCCGGTGATCCTCAGGTCTCGTTATTTCATCAGTGGCATGTCGGGCGATCCTCATTCTGAGCTTCCTCCTGATTTATATTCTGCTATCCAGTCTGGTGGTTAAAAAGGAGCCCGATTCGGAAGGAGACAAAGACCTTTTTACGAGCCGAGAGGTTCAGTACCAGGAGAGAACCCTGACCGGCGTTAATGAAGCGCTCATCCAAATACCTCGACACATTCTTCATTCTCTAGGACACTTCTTACTTGTTTCTTCTTGCCTTCTGTTTGCCCTCACGAGTTGAAATGTTGGTATTTCCGAGCCCTTATGAAGCAAGAGTACAAACACATCGTGCTAGGCAGAGGCCAGTAAACAAGTCTTTCCCCTAAGTTCTGGTCTTCTGTGGCTTTGAAAAGTATAATTAGTGGAATAATCCCAAAGCTGGGCTTCTTGCCTTCACCGCTGCATCTCCTGGCTTCCCTTTCAGTCCTCCAAGTTCCTAGCACTCTTGTCATTTCTCTCTCTCTCTCTCTCTCTCTCTCTCTCTCTCTCTCTCTCTCTCTTTAAACAAAGCAACATTTGTTCAATATTTCTAGACATTCCTATTCCTAAAGATAATGCTCCCTTCAAGAGAATGCCTTGGGATTCAGTGGGTTCTGACCGCACACCAACGTTACTGCTCTCCAAGTTCAATGCCGTGGACTTCAATCAGCATTTCCAGCAAAACGTCAGGTGATTGCCACACAGCAAGATTAGAGCCGGCCTGTCATCCTGGTGTGCCGCCAGCCAGAAACTGGGGACCAGCTGGGAGTGGGTGGAAGGTTGTTCAAGGGGAAGGTTGAGAAGCAGTGCTGTGAGGGTGGGCTGAGCCGGGGGTGATCAGGAGCAGGCCTGTCAGAAGCAGCCGTGAGAAGTCAGTCCTTTCAAGTTGGCACCGAGTTCTTTTCACAGTAACCAGCTTTGAACTGGCCTGTGGCACAAGCCGTCTCAGACAGTGAGGAAAGTTTTCACTAGCTGAACAGTAAGGAATTCTCACTCTGTGTGGTCAAAGACATTAACCATGTCCTCGTCCTTCCGTGTGTGTGTGTGTGTGTGTGTGTGTGTGTGTGTGTGTGTGTGTGTGTGTCTCAGGGGTTATTCCTGGCTCTGCACTCAGGAATTACTCCTGACAATGCTTGGGGGGTGGGGGGGCCATATGGGATGCTGGGAATTGAACCCGGTTTGGTAGCGTGCAAGGCAAACACCCTACCCGCTGTGCTATATCATTCCAGCTCCTCCTTTTTATTTTCTTTCCCCCATATGTCGCCCAACACAACCCCCAACCCGAATGCTACAAAAACTGGATGTCAGACCTAAAGTTTATCCAACACTGGATTTAAGCCATAGAAGATTCTGTTTAAGGAGGGGCGCTACCAAGAATGCTCTGTGTTTTAGAAGATGGTTTGAGTGGAAGATTTGAGAGATGCCTAGGATAATTTGCATGAAATTACTCTTTTGAAGATGTGAACATTTCGGGGCCCGGGGGATAGCTCGGAGGTAAAACCCCTGCCTTATAAGCATGAGGAGAGTGAGACCACAAATTTAACCCTCCATTACCCTCTGTGCCCATCGGGGATCCTTGTTATTTGGGGTGCCCAGGACCATAATCAAGTCTACCGACTCCAGTCATCGCAGAAACGACAACAGAGGACCAGGGAATTTTTTTAAAATTAAATGTGGGGACCAGGGAAATAGCTCAAGTAATAGCATGTGTGAGGCCTTGACTTTCACGCCCAGCACCACATGGTCTTCCAAGTATCATAGGGTACATCCCTCTGACCCCCTCCCCGCCAACCCCGGCCCATGCATCACTTGGCCTGAGCACCAAAGCTGTCAGGCCCTTGCTCCTAGGAGAGTAATGCTGGTGGTAACCATGGTAAAAGCAAAAATCAGGGGCCAGTGGTCAAGTAGCCAATCAGCATTCAATTTCCACATCACTTAGTGCTCCAAGCATCACTGCCTGCAGACCTGGAGGCCTCTGAGCTGCGCTGAATGTGCTGAGTGTCCTGGACTCCCCCAACATCACCAGGGGATCTCTGGGCACTCCCTGCAGCACCACAGGGCCCAGGCAGTATAGCATCCTTGGACCCTTGTATGAGCCAGCAGCTAGATGGCCAAGAATCACCAGAAAGGACCCTGGCCTCCTGAGCATCATATACTCAACACCTCCACACACAGAGACACCCAGAAAATAAAGGCAAAAAAATAGCAGTGATGCCCAATAAGAGAGAGAGAACAAAAGGGAATGCCCTGCCACAAAGGCAGGGGGGGATGGGGGGGATGGGGGGTGGGAGGGATACTGGGACCCGTGGTGGTGGGAAATGGGCACTGGTGGAGGGATGGGTATTTGATCATTGTATAATCGAAACCCAAGCATAAAAAATTGTAAGTCTACAACTGTACCTCATGATGTCTCACTAATAAAAATAAAAAAATAAAAATAAATAAAATAAAGTGAATTCTTAAGGTATCTCAACCCTCCTTTAACTTTAAGTTGACTTTCTTTTTTTTTTTGTTTTTGGGTCACACCCGGCGATGCTCAGGGGTTACTCCTGGCTCATGCACTCAGGAATTGCTCCTGGCGGTGCTCGGGGGACCATATGGGGCGCTGGGAATCGAACCTGTGTCGGTCATGTTGGCTGCGTGCAAGGCAAACGCCCTACCCGCTGTGCTATCGCTCCAGCCCCCTTAAGTTGACTTTCAACATGGAAATTAAGTTTTTTAGAAAAGCTAAACAAGTGTAAACTGTCAGATTCCTAATAATTAAAGAGCATTATTTATCTCAAAAAAAAAAAAAACAGCGGTGATGGTGGTTGTTTTGGTTTGGGGCCATTTGAAAACAACCTCCCTGAAAAGTCAAGTTTTGTATCCCAGGAGGTATTCTGTGGGAGTGAGCCCCTCGATCAGTGCCCCTCTCCTGGGCAGCTTGCTTTTCATCCTGAATTCCTGGGGCCGGCGAAGCCACCACTGTTACTCCCTTTCCTTTTTGCTTTCTCTGTTAGCCATCATCTTTGTGGACAGAAGTTGAAGTTCAAGTTGAAGTGCTCTACCAGCTTTGCCGTCATCCATTTTGACAGGACTCTCCTTATTGTTTCAGGTTGGATGCGTTTGGGAACTTGATGCATAAAATCTGCATGACTACTCATTCCCTTCTGCATCCGTCCTTGGATTCACGCCAGCATGGCTCACAGCACAGAGCTTAACGGCTGTGCCCCAGGTAACTCCATGCTCTGGAATGTGTGTGTGTGTGTGTGTGTGTGTGTGTGTGTGAGAGAGAGAGAGAGAGAGAGAGAGAGAGAGAGAGAGAGAGAGTGTGTGTGTCTTTGCTCAAACTAATTTCTGATTTCTCTTTTCATAATGGATAAATATAGCAAGACTAGATGACTAGGTTTTTCAAAGCAGTTTCTAGTTTTCCATTGAAGTGGGTTTTGTATCTTTTTGGAGATTTGTGTGTGTCTGTGTGTGTGTTGTTTGTTGTTTTTTTTTTTTAATCTATTGGACACTATGCTTTTATCTTTAGAGTCTGTGCAGAAATCAGTTAGGTAAATTATTACCTAGGTCAATTCTATTGAAGTGTTGAGAGATAAATGTAAAATCCTGAATGCTGATGCAAGGATAATGTGTACTCTGCATGCACTTCTTTCTGGGGCGTTGAACAATGAGAGGGGAAAGCAGTTTGGTTGCTTAAAGCTAGTTGCTAGTGTCTACTGCCAGTAAGCTTTGTTCAATGTTTCTAAACAGGAAGAAAGGCGAAGTGAGGTATATTCTCTCAAAGTGACCTTCTAGAGAGGAGATTCTACAACGAGCCCCATTGTAAATATGAAAGCTGCTATTCTTATTCTTACTTAGTTATATTAGAAACCTGCATAATTTTTATGTATATTCCAAAATGCTTTTTGTAAGATTTGGGAGAAATCTGGACAACAAATGCAGAAGAAAAATCTCCCGAGTGATGGTATTAACAACACAGCCTACCTAAAACTTGTCACATGCTCATTCCTCTCTGGGGTGGCAGTCAAATTTCAGAGCAAGGCATTTTTTTTGCAAAACGCCAGTCTTCTCAAGCTGTGCTGGCCCCGAGCACTGTCTCAGGGAGATGACATGAAATTGGAGTCAGATTCCCAGCGTCAGCCCTAACCATGAGAGAGGGTCTTCTTACTCCCGTGTAAGAGATCAATACGAATGTCCACCCCCAGCATTAGAATCAGTGAAAGCAACGGAATTACACTTACAAGTACCTCTTATAAGTTCTAAGGTACTTTGAAAGACAACAACAGGAGGAGCCCTCTGAAGTGGGCACTCCCAGCCCATGGATGTGATTTTTCTACTCCAGCAAACCCAGCTGAGAGGATCACTTCAGGGCAAAAATGCCCCGGCTTTCCCAAAAACCCAGCGCAAATAAACTCAAGTGTTTATTCTGGGGTAATTGATCTTGCTCGTATTCTCCACTGCCCGAATCCTCAAGGTTTTTATAGATTCTGCACAGGGACTGCTGTCAATAGTTAACTGTGAACGACAGCTTCCAACATTGGATAAACACTGTGCCATGATGCCTACGATGATGTTCTGCCCATATTATCATGCATAATCCTTACAGTAATCCCATGGCAGTAGGCTCTCACTGCCACTGTCATCCCTACTTAATGCACAGAGACATTCAGTCTTACCCAAGTGGTGGAGGCCAAGTCAGTATTATTACTCATTCTCTAGTGAATGTATAGTGAGGGAAGAGGTTGCGGGCGAGATTTTTGTGAGTGTCATGGTGGGTTTCCTGAAGCCCCACTTCTCATCTCCAAGGGCTTATCCATCAACCCACTGTTTTTCTCCTCATTTCTTTTCAACTTGACCATTTTTCACTTGCTCCTGAAGACTCTACTCTTGCTGTAGCCTTTCCTTTTCTTTGTTGTCCTGCCGATCAGATCTGAGCCCTACTTTTGAAAGCAAAGTCTTCAGATTTATGGCTTCCAGGATGTTCTAGTAAGTAAAAGTAAAGTAAAGGCCCTCCCGTTGATCGTCGATTTGCTCGAGCGGGCCCAGTAACGTCTCCATTGGAGACTTTGTTGTCACTGTGTCTGGCATATGGAATACATCACGGGGAGCTTGCCAGGCTCTGTCGTGTGGGCGAGATACTCTCGGTAGCTTGCCGGGCTCTCCGAGAGGGGCGGAGGAATCGAACTTGGGTCGGCCATGTTGGCTGCGTGCAAGGCAAACGCCCTACTGCTGTGCTATCGCTCCAGCCCCAGCTCAGTTGGGAGAGCGTTAGACTGAAGGATGTTCTAGAGTGAAGTGAATTGTTACTGTTGACAAGAGTCTAGACCAAGCTAGGGAAGAATTTTTGCTTACTCTAGTCACCAATGTCTCAGGAAGCCTGTGAGCAAATCTGATTAGAGACTTAGTCATTCATAATTAATTATATAGATATTATACAGAGAACAAAAATATATGTGTGTGCATATATATGTTTGTGTACATGCATACCGATCTCTCTCTATATAGGTTGGATAAGTGTATATGTGCATTTATGATTTTTATTATAGAAAAATACTGAACTATAGAGTTATATAGAATACTTAAGCAAAATCACTGGTATCACCACCACACAAATAAATATTTTATTGTATGTTTTGTTTTGATATTCCAAAGATAAAGTATAAAAAGAAATGATCTTTTAAAGGTGATGCTTCCCTTATATGTATTTTGTCCAAAAGGGCTTTCACCAGTCCTCACCCTGAAAAATCATGGCTTTGCAATCCATACAACCTGAAGGGAAAACCTTGGTGAAGGTGGAGTCAGAGAACTGGCCAGAGAAACCCTTTAAATGGAATTAGTAATAGACCAGGGCATAAGAGGAGTAACTCAGATAAAAACAGCCAGACTGGGCCCTTGGCTGGAAAATATATATATATATATATACATGTATATCCAAGGACTGATTACTCCATATCCAGGACCCTGTTTAGAATTTACCCTGGATAAGGCACAATTCACAGGCCCTCGTAACTCTGACTTCACCCTTGAGTCCTTCAGTTAGATGCAGTAAAATGTTCTGATTTGAAAATAAAGTTAGTTCACCCAAGAATAGCCGAGATAAGTACCAGGAGGTTTACTCCATGGCTTGGAGGCCAGCCACACATGTTAGGGGAAAAGGCAGCTCAGACAGAGAAGGGAGCATCAAGTAAAGGGTGTTGGGAGGATCCTCCCAGGATGGGAGAAGCATGCTGAAAGTAGACTATAGACCAAACATGATTGCCAGTCAATGCCTCTCTTGCAAATCACAGAACCCAAAAGGAGAGAGAGAGAGAACGAAAGGGAATGCCCTGCCACAAAGGTGGGGTGGGATAGGGGAGATGGGGGGTGGGAGGGATACTGGGATCTGTAGTGGTGGGAAATGGGCACTGGTGGAGGGATGCGTATTTGATGATTGTATAATTGAAACCCAAGCACAAAAATTTATAAATCTACAACTGTACCTCATGGTGTTTCACTAATAAAAATTTTTAAAAAAAGAAAAGAAAGTTAGTTAATGGTGTGCTTGGGCACCTCAGGCCTACACAATATGCAAAGTTCTACAACAAGCACCTGGACACACACTGCCTTGCTTAAGATACAGACTTTTCTAGATCATGACAAGTATAATTGATACTTACTATGTGTCAGGCATTGTGCTAGGGGACACAGCAGGGGACAAAACAGCAAAACTCCCTGCCCCAAAGGATGGTCTCTTCTAGGGGAAGGGGACATCGAAGATAAAATAGAAAACAGACTAGGACTTAAAAGTGTGTGTTATCTCTCTGCACGGCACGGGTAATTAGGAATCCTCTGTTGTGCTTTATAACCCTGCCAGCCTCCCTATGGACCCATCTCTGACTGCATCTGTCCCTCCCGCCCACCCCGTCCTTGCCTGTCATCCGTCAGAGTGTCGCGTATTTTTCACCTGGTCCTCCTTCATGACCCAGTTTTATTTTGATTAATTTAGAACATCGATTACATTATTACTAAGAGTAACTAGAGCCGTTTGTTAATTAAATGAGATGTGGGCATTGTAAATTACTCATGCCTGTTCTCTTCCCTCGGGACTAAGTCGGGAGCAAATGGGGTTGGGGCTGGGCGTTGGGTAGGAAAATTGCTATATTTCTGTGGCATTTAGGCTCGGGGACTGTCTCCCTTTTTTCCAAGTTTCTGAATCACATTGTAAACTGGATGTGCTGATTGATACCTCTCTAAACACTAATTAACGTTGTGAAACTTTAATTAGAGCTTAGAATCTCTTTAGAAGCCAAATAACAAGTGGGTTATTTGTCAGATGAAGATAATAATACCCGTCCTGCCTTCTTTGCAGGATTGTGACAAGAGAAAAATAAAACAAGATGTGTTAAAGAAAACACTTTTAAAAAATGCAAAGTGCTGCTCAGGTGTCTGTGAAAAATCTCCATCCTTGCCCTGCCCTCTTGAGTTCCTGATCTAGCAAACACCCGCTCTGGTGACTAGCTCAGGGCCAGCAGAGTGGCAGGAGCTGTTACTGCCCTCCCACTTCTGACAGTTAAAGAAAAAACAGATGAGCATGGTGGGGTGACTTGCCGTGCCACCTTCTTGGCTCGTGCTAATACTCCCCTTGCTCGTTCATTAGAGTTTTCCTTTCTCCCGCTTGGTCCCCTTTCACTTTTCCTCAGAGTACAAGGTTTTCTTCTTTAAGTTGTCTGCCGAACTGCATTAAAAATTTGGTGGCCAACCAAATAAAGGATGTTTGGAGGATCCTCCCAGGAGGGGAGATGCATGTCGAAAGTAGACTATGGACTGAACATGTTTGCCACTCAATGCCTCTTTTGCAGACCACAACACCCAAAAGGAGAGAGAGAACACAGGGGATTGCCCTGCCACAGAGACGGGGGGATGGGGGGATGGGGGTGGGAGGGATATTATCCATGGTGGTGGAAAATGGGCACTGGTAGAGGGATGGGTATCTGATCATTGTATAATTGAAACCAAAGCACAAAAAATTGTAAATCTACAACTGTAAAAAAAAATAAAATAAAAGGGAAAAAATATATATATAGAATAAAGGTACATGCATTTGGAAAAAATAATTTATTTGAAGGAAATAATGGCAAAGTAGAAAAATACTTAGCTATCAATTAAGTTATTCATTACATTACATGAAAAAATTTAAATGAACTAATTTTCTCTAGGAATATGGCTAAACAATTGTAAAAATAATTA